TGCCTGGATGAGGAATTCTGGGAGTTGAAGTCCACAAGTCATAAAAGGCCCAAGTTTGAAGACCCCTGACATAATGTGAGGGGGAAATAATGCAAACTCAGAAAGAGCTAAACTGGTGTTTCTCAACCTCGGCCATTTTAAGAGGTGTGGACTTCAACTCCCAGAATTCCTCAGCCAGCGTGCCTGGCTGAGGAATTCTGGGAATTGAAGTCCACAAGTCATAAAAGGGCCAAGTTTGAAGACCGCTGCTATACAGGATAAATTACTTGGTCCAAGGGATTCTTTTCTTGTGTCTAATTCTGAGATGAACTGCAACCACAATCGGGCAACAGAATTTCTGTTGCCCTGTGAGGCGGTCGTTAAGTGAGCCAGGCCCCGACTTTTTTATGACTTTTTTAAGCAAATCGCTTAAGTTGTGAAGTGACTCCAGCGTCCCCCATTGAATTTGCATGTCAGAGGCCGGCTGGGAAGGTCACAAAGGTGATCTCGGGACCCTGGGAGGCGATCATAAATACATGTTGGTTGCCAGGTACTCAGATTATGATCACCTAACTGGGGGAAGCTGAGAGGGTCGTAAGTGTGAGGATGGGGTGCAAGTCATTTTTTTCACTGCTAGTGTAACCTTGAAGGTTGCTAAATGAGTGGCTGTAAGTTGAGGGCTACTTGTACAAAGCATCCTATCAAGCAGGAATAACAGAACAGAATAACAGAATTGGAAGGGACCTTGGAGGTCTTCTAGCCCAACCCCCTGCTCAATACAAATAAAAGGCTGTCCAGTCTTGCCTTAAAAACCTGCAGAGTTGGAGCACCCACAACTTCTGGAGGCAGGTTGTTCCACTGGTTTATTGTTCTCGATGTCAGGAAATTCCTCCTTAATTGTACGTTGCTTCTCTTCTTGATTAGTTTCCATCCGTTGCCTCTTGTCCTGTGTTCAGGTGCTTTGGAGAATAGCTTGACTCCCTATTCTTTGGGGCAGCCCCTGAGATATCGGAAGGCTGCCATCTTGTCCCCCCTCGTCCTCTTCATTAAACTAGACATACCCAATTCCAGCAACCGTTCCTCGTATGTTTTAGCCTCCAGTCCTCTAATCATCTTTGTTGCCCTTCTCTGTACTCTTTCCAGAATCTCAACATCTTGATTCTATCCCTCTGTTAATGCAGCCCAGCACTGTGTTGGCTTTTTATGGCAGCTGTGCCACAAGGCTGGCTCAAATTTAAGGGATGGTCCACTAGGACTCCAACATCCCCCTGGCAGTTACTACTCTTGAGCCAGGTGCCACCTATTCTTATACCTGTGCATCTCAAAGGTATCAAGTTCCAGAGCAAGAAGAATTCCAGCTCATTTCCCTTTTTTTCCAAGAGTCAAACCGGAAATCCTTGTTCAATGGGGGTCTATTTCCGTCTGTGAATTATTCCCTTCCCATCTTGCATGAAAAGCTTTGACATCTGTGTTATAACAGTTATAACCGAGCCTTAATTGGCCAAGCTGTTGAGGAAGCACGATGCCAGTTCATCATCATTTCAGAATTGCTTTCTGGCAGAAAACAATAAGGGACGTACCTCAAAGGAGTGTCTATGGGGAGTAGCTTTGGGGAGGCCAATTGTAACTTCAAACGGTCATTAAGTAAACAGTCATAAGTCAAGGACTGTTAACCAGTGGAACGGAAGTTGCTTTCAGAAATCCCTCTCAACTCTGTTATTCTGTTCTCCAAAGCACCAAAGAGCAGGAGAAGAAGCAACAGATGGAAACTAATCAAGGAGAGAAGCAACTTGGAATTAAGGAGAAACTTCCTCACAGTTAGAACAATTCACCAGTGGAACAACCTGCCTCCAGAAATCGTGGATGCTCCAACACTGGAGGTTTTTAAGAAGAGATTGGACAACCATTTGTCTGGCCTGGTACACGGTCCCCTGCTTGAACAGGGGGTTGGACTAGAAGACCTCCAAGGTCCCTTCCAGCTATATTCTGAGTCTTTCTGGGGGACAGCAACAGCATTTAGACCAGGGGTCTTCCAACTTGGCCCTTTTATGACTTGGGGACTTCAACTTTTTTTTTTTAAAAAAAGGTTACGTACGCGGCACGGCCCCTGCACACTTGCGTTTATGATATAATTGCATTTGGAAAGACGGCGGGATGTTCTGTTCACAAACTTCCAGAGAAAGACTTAACAGATATGGACACACAAAACAAACTCTGGTGATCATAAAAGGCAATCCTTACTGATGGAAACGAGTAACCGGTCCGGCCGGCAATTTCTGCACGAATAAAAAAAAAAAACGAGCTAACTAGCATTCCTTGCAGAAAAGACAGTGCAAAATTTCCACCGGGCGACACACACACACACACAGCAGGATGAGCTTAATGCCCGACAAGCATTCTGTGACAGATAACAGACGCGACGGGCTTTATCGGGCTGACTGCTTCCTCATTTGCTAAGAGAGTCCTCGGAGCTGCCACTTTATACGGAGCAATTTTGCAAGGCGCCGGTGATCTTGCTGGAGTTGCAATCAGAAAACCCCACCGCGCTGATGCTTTATTGATTGCATGCAAATATTTCTTCACAGGCCTATCCAAGAAATCAATGCGCTCTAAACTGAGGCCGTGATTATTCCCCAAGGCGCTGAGCCGACTCGCTCCAATCCCCGTGGATTCTTTTCAAATAAAAAGGGACAAAATGCTAAGGAGAAGTAAAGTCCTACTGAGGCCGTTAAATACCGCAGGCGGTCCTCAAGTTATGACCACGAGCGAGCCCAACGTTCAGGCTGCCAGGTGAGAACATTTGCTAAGTGAGTTTCGCCCCGTTTTACGACCTTGCTTGCCACCGTCGTTAAGCGAATCACTGCAGTCGTTAAGTCAGGGACACGGTTGTTAAGTGAATCTGGCTTTCCCCCCGTTGACTTTGCTTGTGTCGGAAGGGCGCAAAAAGGGATCGCGTGGACCCCGGAGACGCTGCGACCGTCGTAAATACAAGTCAGTTGCCAAGCCTCTGAATTTTGATCAGGTCATGATGGGGAACGTTGTGACGGTCGCAAGTATGAAAAGCGGTCGTGACTTTTTTCAGTGCCGCTGCAACTTTGGTCACTAAATGAACATAAGACGAGGACTTCCTATATACACGTAGTCCTCGACTTACGTCTGTTGAGCAACTGAAGACACAAGAGCACTGGAAAAAGTGACTTATCCTCAGTCCTCACAACCAGCAAAGCAGCCCCATTTGGGCACTTGGCAACCGGCCTGCATTTACAACAACTGCGGCATCCCGGGATAACGGGATCCCCTTTGGCGACTTTTTGACCTGCAGGAATCAATGGGGGAAGCCAGATTCGCTTAGCGGCTGCGTGGTCCACTTAACGACTGCCGCGATTTGCTCCACCATCGTGGCAAAAAACGGCTGCAGCATCCGCAGGGTCGTCTGATCAAAATCCGGACACTTGGCAGCAAACTCATTCCGATGACCGTTGCTGTGTCCCAAGGTCACGTGATAGCTTCGCGACCTTCTGACCAGCAAAGTCAATGAGGGAAGCTAGATTCACTTAACCATCAGGTTACTAACAACTGCAGTGATTTGCTTAACAATGAACCGGTGGAACAGCTTGCCACCAGAAATTGTGGGCGCTCCATCACTGGAGGTTTTTAAGAAGAGGCTGGACAGTCACTTGTCTGAGACGGTATAGGTCCTCCTGCTTGAGCATGGGCTGGACTAGAAGATCTCCAAGGTCCCTTCCAGCTCTGTTCTATTCTGTTCGGTATTCCATTCCCTATTCCTATTCTATTCTCTATTCTGTATTCCATTCCCTATTCCTATTCCTATTCCTATTCCTATTCTATTCTAATTCTTATTTCTATTCTATTCTATTTTCTATTCTGTATTCCATTCTGTATTCCTATCCTATCCTATCCTAAATCTTATTTCTATTCTATTCTATTTATTCTATTCTAATTTTTATTTCTATTCTATATTCCATCCCCCTATTCCTATTCCTATTCTATTCCGTATTCCATTCTGTATTCAATTCAATTCAATTCTATTCTATTCTATTCATTCTTATTTCTATTCTATTCTATTCTACTCTATTCATTTTATTTCTATTCTATTCATTCTTATTTCTATTCTATTAATTCTTATTTTTATTCTATTCTATTCCATATTTTCTATTCCATTCCATTCCATTCCATATTTTCTATTCTATTCTATTCTATTCTATTCTATTCTATTCTATTCTATTCTATTCTATTCTATTCTATTCTATTCTATTCTATTCTATTCTAATTTCAATTCTATTCTATTCTATTCTCTTCTCTATTCTCCAGAAGCAGTAAATGCTCCAACACGGGAAGTTTTTATGAAGAGACTGTTCAGCCATCTATCCAAAATGGTGTAGGGTTTACTGCCTACCTAAGCAGGGGGTTGGACTCGGTGACCTCCAAGGTCCCTTCCATCATCATCATCATCATCATTATCATCATCATCATCATTATTATTATTCTATTCTATTTTAATTCTATTCTATTCTTTTCTACTTTACTTCTATTCTATTCTATTCCTAACTGTGGCAAGAAAAGACGTAAAATGGGGCAAAACTCACAAAACCAATGTCTCGCTTAGCATCAGAAAATCTGGATCTCAATTGAGGTGGTAAGTCGAGGACCACCTGTCATTTATAAACGCCATTTATCTCGCTCACTTTTCTCCAAAGCCAATTTGCAGCATTTACCACTTCTGGCTCTTGTTAAGGTGAAGCTAGCGAGGATCCGACCCCCCAAAAGGGAAACTGCCAAGGCAGCTCAACCATTTTGGACGCTTCGTCTCCCATCTTTGTAAACTGCTGGGGGAAAACATGCATTGTGTTAGTTCCAGTGATAACTTCCAGCTGTGGCTGAGGCCTTCAAAAGTTTGAAAGCAGGAAATCTTAAAAGGAAATTCCATCAGTTCCTGGAGTTTTGCAACACAAATGGTTGTTCCAAAAAGGAGCTCGGATAAGGGGAAGGTTCATTTTTACCTCATGTCTTCAAGCAAGTCGCATTCGGCCTGATGCTTCGCTTGGAGTTTTGTCATCTGCTCAGCCTGGATGAGTTTCAGCTCTTGAGTGATTTTCACCTAGGAAGGGTGGGGGAGGGGGAAATGTAGGATTTTTTTAATACATTATTTTCTTTAAACCTCTTTCTCGTTTAAGACTAATAAATCAGGGGTCTTCCAACTTGGCCCTTTTATGACTTGTGGACTTCAACTCCCAGAATTCCTCAGCCAGGCACGCTGGCTAAGGAATTCTGGGAGTTGAAGTCCGCAAGTCATAAAAGGGCCAAGTGTGAAGACCCCTGCTCTAAAATTATCGATAATCCCGTATGATTTTACAGGCCTTCATCGCTTTTTTCTTTTCAGGTTACATTACCAGTGGAGGACATGTGTTCCAGCAGATATTCAAAATGTTTACAAAAGTTTTAATTTTTTTTTTCTGTTTGCTAAAGACCCTGAAACGAAGGTTAGTAGGGATCCTAAAACCACAGCACCTAGATCTGTATCTGCAGCTGTGAATTTCTTTCTCTTTTGTTTTCTTTTTCATAGCAAGTTAAGCAGCAAGGGAAGCTCTTCATTTAGCACAGAAGAGAATAACAGAGTTGGAAGGGACCTTAGAGGTCTTCTAGTCCAACCTGCTGCTCAAACAGGAGATCCTATACCAGGGGTAGGCAACCTTGGCTCTTTTATAACTCGTGGATTTCAACTCCCAGAATTCCTGAGCCAGCATGGGGGAACTATGGCCCCTTCATGACTCGTGGACTTCAACTCCCAAAATTCCTCAGCCAACATGGGGGAACTATGGCCCCTTCATGACTTGTGGACCAACTCCCAGAATTCCTGAGCCAACATGGGGGAACTATGGCCCCTTCATGACTCGTGGACTTCAACTCCCAGAATTCCTGAGCCAGCCTGGCTCAGCTTGGAAACCTCTCCCTTCCCCTCAGCATGGCTGGCTCAGGAATTCTGGGAGTTGAAGTCCATGAGTCATAAAAGAGCCAAGGTTGCCTACCCTGTCCTATACCATTCCAGACAAATGGCTGTCCAATCTCGTCTTAAAAGCCTCCAGTGATGGAGCACCCACAACTTCTGGAGGCAAGTAGTTCCACTGACTTCACGCTGGCTGAGGAATTCTGGGAGTTGAAGTCCACAAGTCATAAAAGGGCCAAGTTTGAAGACCTCTGCTATAAATGCTGTAAGTCAGGGTTTCCCAATCTTGGCGATGTTAAGACAGCTGGACCTCAACTCCCAGAATTCCCCAGCCAGCATGGATAGGCCTCAACTCACAATTAGGACAACTACAATTTCCACTGCTAAGCAAGGCGGTCGTTAAGTAAGCCACACCTCATTTTACGACCTTTTTTGTTTACGGTTGTTAAGCAAATCACTGCCATTAAGTGAACCGTACAGTTAAGTGAATCTGTCTTCCTTTGTACAGTTAAGTGAATCTGTCTTCCATCAGTTTGCCAAGTGCCTGCATTTTGATCATGTAGCCATGAGGTCGTAATTGCAAGGGCCAGCCGTAAGTTACCTTTTCTTAGTGCCGTTGTAACTTCAAACGGTCGCTAAACGAACAGTTGTAAATCGAAGATTACCCGTAATTGCTAAACGCAGGAAGGCCTCGACTTACCATTCATTTAGTGACCGGTTAAAGTTACAACGGCACTGAAAAAAGTGTCTTACGGCCATTTTTCACACTTAGCATCTCCATGGTCACGTAATTAATATTCAGACGCTTGGCAACTGACTCATGTTTACGACGGTCACAGCGTCCCGGGGGGTCACGTGATCCCCCTCTGCGACTTTCTGGCAAGCAAAGTCAATGGGGAAAGCCGGGTTCACTTAATAACTGGGGTGCTCACTTAACGACTGCACTGGCAAGAAAGGTCGTAAAACGAGGCAAAACTCACTCAACACACGTCTCATGTAGCGACAGAAATTTTGGGCTCAATTGTGGTCGTAAGTCAAGGACTACCTGTATATTGGGATTCCACTACCTTAGCAGCTCACCCCCCCCCCAACGGATGGCCATGATGTAGCTTTCTCGAAAGACAGAAATGTGTTTTAACGCCAACGTAATCCTGGAAGCAGAATCCGTTTGATCTCCCAAGAGGAATGCAAGATGCACAATTTTCCTGCATTATGAATGATGTATCGCGAGCCACGTTTGCAATGTTCCCAAATAGTCAAACGACCTGGCTCTCCCTGCAGAAAAGTCACCTTACACTCAGGTGACCCTCGCCTCGGACGGAGGAAGCCGAGGCTCCGCCCGAAACGAACAACTCGACAATAATTCCAGCCGGCAGGAAACAACGCTTTTCCACGTTTCTCCGGCTCTCTTCAAAAAAGGGGCAGATCGATAGATAAGAAAAATGAAACCGTCATCCTCTCGCTTCTCTCACTTAGAGTCAACAAGCCCAGGACACCAGAAGTTATTTGAAGGTTAAAAGGTTTAAATATTAATATTCGCTGCTTTGAAGGCACTCGTTTCTCAACGTTGAAAGAGTTAAATGGACTCAGGGGAGCCGTCTGAAAAACAAGAACCGCTGAATGCAGAAGGGAAAAATGGAAAAAAAAAATCCCTCAAAGAGCTAACAGGAACAAGAACCTGCAATGAATTCCATGTTAGTGCCTGCTAGCTAAAAAGAAACTTAAGGACTAGCTCCTTTTCCAATTATCTCTTTTTATTAACAGGCAGAAGCTTTCTCCCCTGCCCCCCTGGTCAGCCCTAAGGAGCTCCTGAAAGTTGCCCGCACTTTAATTGTGTTAATTGGAAAAGAATCCATCAGACAGTTTGTTTTTTGTTTTGCAAGTTGCTAAGTGAGTTTTGCCCCATTTCACCATCTCTCTTGCCATAGTTGTTCAGTGGATCTGGCTTCCCCATGCATTATGCTTGTTAGAAGGTCGCAAAAGGGGATCACGTGACCCAGGGACCCTGCAACGGTCGTAAATACGAACCAATTGCTAAGTGGCCGAATTTGGGGATGCTACAATGGTCCTAAGTGTGAAAAACGGCCATAAGTCACTTTTTTCAATGCCGCTGCAACTGTCAACGGACGCTACATGGGCTGCTCTAAGTCGAGAACCACTCATGAGCCACAAACGGACAAATGTGCACAGTCCCCGCCCCCAAATGAAACACCTGTTCTTAACAGATCTGTTGTGTAATTCTCTGCTTTTCCCACCTTTTTTTGGTTCACCAGGTGGAAATCTCCAGGTTTGAAGCAGGTGCTTGGGAATCCGTATTAGAAAATACTCTTAACAAATGGCTTTTTTAAACTTTTGGGTTTTTTTTTCCCCCTGCAATAACCGAGAGCTGCGTTCACACAGTTCTATATATAGGAGGGGAAAGCCCAACCGTTTTTTTGTATTCAAAAGAAAAACCAAACCAGGTGGAAAAGGCAGAAAAAACGAAGCTGGCTGAGTGATTCAGAAGTTGTGGGTGCCCCACAACTGGAAATTGTGGGTGCTCCACAACTGGAGGTTTTTAAGAAGAGACTGGACAGCCATTTGTCTGGAAGGGTTTAGGCCAGGGGTCGGCAACCTTGGCTCTTTTAGGACTCGTGGACTTCAACTCCCAGAATTCCTGAGCCAGCCATGCTGAGGGGAAAGGGAGAGTTTCCAAGCTGAGCCATGCTGGCTTAGGAATTCTGGGAGTTGAAGTCCACAAGTCATGAAGGAGCCATAGTTCCCCCATGCTGGCTCAGGAATTCTGGGAGTTGAAGTCCACGAGTCATGAAGGGGCCATAGTTCCCCCATGCTGGCTCAGGAATTCTGGGAGTTGAAGTCCACGAGTCATAAAAGGGCCAAGGTTGCCTACCCCTGGTTTAGGGTCTCCTGCTTGAGCAGGGGGTTGGACTAGAAGACCTCCAAGGTCCCTTCCAGCTCTGTCACAGGTAGTCGACTTACAACCGTTCATTTAGCGAGCGTTCAAAGTTACAACGGCGCTGAAAAAAAATGCGACTTATTACCGTTCTTCACTCGTAGGCCCGTTGCAGCGTCCCCAGGGTCACGTGTTCAAAATTCAGACCCTTGGCAAATGGTTCACATTTATGATGGTCGCAACGTCCCGGGGTCACGTGATCCCCTCTGGCGACCTTTGGACAAGCAAAGTCAACGGGGGAAGCGACTTCATAAACACCCTGATTCACTGTGGCAGGAAAACTCATCCAACGGGGCCAACTCCCTTCACCAATGTTTCACTAAGCAACATAAAATTGTTGGTCTCCATTGTAGCCGTAACTCAAGGACTACCTGTATTCCGTTACCTGCTGCGAGCCCAGCTCCCAAAAGTTTTTTTTTTTGCCCTTATTTCTAACATCTCCAAATGAAACCCCAAATTTTTGCAAGCAAACGGAAAAGCACCCCAAGGGGGGGGGGGAAGCCTTAATTTTCTCAACCACGACAACAGCAAAAAAGAATCCACCCTGTGGTTTGTGTTTTTGAACCAAAAGGCTAAACTTGTTTGCATTTTTCATCCCGATGGCCCAGGAGAAATATTTCTCCAAACGACGCAGTCCTTGGATGGAAACTCCCAATTATTCCCCCTCCCCACCCCACCCGTACGAAAGTCAAGCACGCCGTGTAAAACCACCAGGGGAATAAACCAGACGGCCTGCAAACAGGGGCAAAACGTGGCTGAGCCGATCCTGCTAAACCCCAAATGTTGGGCAAGCCAGGATCAGCATCCTCCTCTCCTTTCCTCCCTCCCCACTGGGAAGCCCTGCCTTTTGTTGACAAAAATTAAACCTCCTTTCCCTGATGGATTTTAGCCAGGTCTGAACACGCAGGCACACGCCGGGTGTGGGTGGCTGCTGTTGTTGCTTTAAACGGTACACACGTTTTTATGTCGGGGCTAAGACAGGCTGTGTGTGTGTGTGTGTCCAGTTATGCAAGAGGGGGGGGGCTGTCTAAATGGGTTTAATCGACAGAGCTGGCGATCTCCCCGACGGCTTGCCAGGGGTGCCCCACGGACGAGAGGGAGGGTGTCTCCTGGGGTTCTGCACCCCTCTGGAGACCCCCCCCCCAGATGACAGCTTGTGCCCTTTTTGGCAACGGCCGGCCAGACAGAAGTGTCCTGGCAGGCCTAAGCCGCCATGGCTGGGACCCAGACCCTAAAAATAGCGTCCCTGCGTCGGGGCCAACCGGACAGTCCCTCCCTCCCCCTCGGCCCCAGCCAAGAAGGAAAGGCCTTGAAACCTGGGTGGAAAAGATGAGTTGGGGGGGGGGTCTTCAACCCAAGGACGGTGCCCATCCCAGATTGTCAGTTGGCCCTTCCCAGCCTCCTCCTCCTCTGATGCAAGCCAATGCAGGGCACCTTGGCCCTTTCGGGACCAGCCGGCTTATCCTCGCCCCCCCTCCTCCTCCTCTTCCTGCCTGGCCCAAGCAGGCTGGCTGGGGACGATGGGAGCTGCAATCCCCCCCACCTCTGAAAGCCCTCAGGGGTGGGGAAGGCAGCTGGGGCTGAGCCAAGCAGCAGGCCGAGCCCTTTCAACCCCTGGCTGGCCCGACTCGGGAGTAAACCCCCTCCTCTTCCTTCTTTTTCCAGCCCAGCAGGGTTGGCTGCCCCTTTCTTGGGGAGGGGGGAGTCCCAGGACCACCACCCACCTCTAAGGTCCCCCCCCCTTCTTCTCAGGCTGGAAGCCCAGGAGCCTTTCGCCTTGCCCCGGACCAAGCAGCTGCATTCCCACGACGGCGGGACCCGTGTCTTTTGGAACGAGGGAAGCCTGCCTGCGGGTCCGGGTCCGCTTTTCTCGGGAGGCTCCTCTGGGATTCCGGGGCTCGGGCGGAGCAGCCTCAAGCAAGCCCACCTTGCAGCCCCCCCACCCTCCCCGCGACCCTCCCCTGCCTCTGCAGACCCCGCAAGACCCCTCCCCGGCCGAGACCCGCGCCCTGCAGCCCCCCCAAAGCCCCCTCCCTCCTCCTCCCCCCCAAAGCCCCCCACCCCGTCCAGACCCCTCCCCTGCAGGGCTCCCCCCCGGCACCCCTCCTCTCCCCCGGCTCTGCCGACCGCCGGCAGGGCCGTTTCCCCTGCTGGGCAGCCGCCAGCGCCCAGGGAGGACCCGGCATCCCGCTCCGCCGCGGGGGCCCCCGACCCTCGCCGCCTGCCCGCTCACCTTCCTCGGCGGCGGCTGCATGGCGGCGGCGGCGGCGGGGCCGCTCTCGGCCTCCACATCAATCCCTCCCCGCCCGGGACGGCAACGGCCAGGCGGGCGCCGAGCGGCGGCGGCGGGGGCGACGCCGGGCCGGGCCGGGCTGCGATGCTGCGGCTGCAGCGGCGGCGCGGGGGCAGAAGAGCGGAGGGGCGTGACCGGAGGCGTGGCCGGGGGCGTGACCCCCGCGCTGCCCGGCCTCCTCGCAGCCACCGGGGCGGGGGAGGGAGGGGCGTGGCCGCGCGTGCGCGATCGGACTCTCCCGCCTCACACACAAACACACGCGCGCGCGCGCGCGCCCCGCGGAAAACGCGCGAGACTTCTTTCTCGGCTCCCCCTCCTCCCGCCCCCGCAAAAGAAAAAAAAAAAGCCCGCGCTTTTTTTTTTTCCTTTTCTTTTTTTTCACGCGCTTCATCGTCCCTCCCTCCAAAAGTCGGAAAAGAGGAGAAAGGGATTTTTTTTTTTTTCAGGACTTCCCTCTCCCCCCCCTCCGAGCCTCACCGGCGTGACTCGCGTCACGTGTGAACGCGGACGCGCGTGACTTGCCCTGAGGGAGGAGGGGTTTTTTTTTTTTTTTTTGGTTATTTTAATTTAACGCGAGACTTTTAACTATCGTTTTCTCAGCCGTTCCCATTTGCCTCCGGGAGTTGAATTAATTTATGTAACAGTTAATTGGGTTGTTTTGGGTTTTTTTTTTTAATTAAAGCCAAACGAGGGCATTCTCTGGCTCCGCGATTTCACCGCGTGACAGGGCTCGCGCGGAAGGCGGGGCTAAGAGGGAGCCAATCGGAACGGGCGGTTCCCAAGCGGAGCCACGCCCCTCCCCGACGCGGTTCCGCCTTCCTATTGGGTGCCGCGCTCTGGCTGGTTGGCCGCGGACGAACGGATTGCGCTCCTAGTCGCGGCTGCCCCCTGGCGGCAACGCGCTGCAGAAGCAAGGGGCTGCCCCAGGCGCCTGGCGTTTTTCCCCTGAGTTGTTTTAATCTTGGTTAGTGTAATAAACCACCAATGGCTGGGCTGTGGCCCATTAAAGCCTGAATTGCACATTCTGTAAATACGAGAAGCCAAAAGCGAGCATATCTCTTGCATTAATTGTTTGGCTGTTCATATTTATCCCTGTGTCATTGACTATGCAAAAGCCTTTGATTATGTGGATCACAACAAATTGTGGCAAGTTCTTAAAGTGATGGGAGTACCAGACCACCTCATTTGTCTCTTGGGAAACCTATACGCGGGTCAAGAAGCAACAGTGAGAACCGAACACGGAACCACTGATTGGTTCAAAATTGGAAAAGGAGTCCGGTAAGGCTGTATACTGTCACCCTGCCTATTTAACTTATATGCAGAGCACATCATGAGAAATGCAGGGCTAGATGAATCAAAAGTTGGAATTAAGATTGCCGGGAGAAATATCAACAACCTAAGATATGCAGATGATACCACTCTAATGGCAGAAAGTGAAGAGGACCTAAAGAGCCTCTTGATGCGGGTGAAGAAGGAGAGTGCACAAGTTGGCTTGAAACTCAACATTAAGAAAACCAAAATCATGGCATCCGGCCCTCTCAATTCCTGGCAAATAGATGGGGAAGAAATGGAGGAAGTGACAGATTTTATTTTTCTGGGCTCCAAGATCACCTCAGATGGGGACTGCAGCCAAGAAATTAAAAGAAGCTTGCTCCTGGGGAGGAAAACTATGGCAAATCTAGACAGCACACTAAAAAGCAGAGACATCACTCTGTCAACAAAAATGCGTATAGTCCAGGCCATGGTTTTCCCAGTTGCAATGTATGGCTGTGAATGTTGGACCATAAGAAAGGCTGAGTACAAAAGAATTGAGTCCTTTGAACTATGGTGCTGGAGAAGATTCCTGCGAGTCCCTTGGACTGCAAGGCATTCAAACTGGTCAGTCCTAGAAGAGATCAACCCCGACTGCTTTTTAGAAGGCCAGATCCTGAAGTGGAAACTCAAGTACTTTGGCCACCTAATGAGAAGGAAGGACTCACTGGAGAAGAGCCTAATGCTGGGAAAGATGGAGGGCAATAGAAGAAGGGGACGACAGAGAATGAGATGGCTGGATGGAGTCACTGAAGCAGTAGGTGTGAATTTAAATGATAGAGGACAGGAAGATGGTAGAGGACAGGAAGACCTGGAGGAATGTTGTCCATGGGGTTGCGATGGGTCGGACACGACTTCGCAATTAATAACAACAACAATTTATCCCTGTGACAATTGCAGGACTTTTAATACAGGTAGTCCTTGACTTACAACAGTTCATGTAATAATAATAATAGTAATAGTAATAGTAATAATAATAATAATAATAAAGTTGGAAGGGACCTTGGAGGTCATCTAGTCCAACCCCTATACCATTTCAGACAAATGGCTGTCCAGTCTCTTCTTAAAAACTTCCAGGATTGGAGCATTCACAGCTTCTGGAGGCAAGTTGTTCCACTGGTTAATTGTTCTAACTGTCAGGAAAATTCTCCTTAGTTCCAGGTTGCTTCTCTCCTTGATTAGTTTCCATCTGTTGCTTCTTGTCCTGACTTCAGGCGCTTTGGAGAATAGCTTGACTCCCTCTTCTTTGTGGCAGCCCCTCAGATACTGGAACACTGCTATCATGTCTTCCCTATTTCTTCTTTTCTTTAGACTGGCCAGACCCAGGTCCTGCAGCCGTTCTTCGTATGTTTTAGTCTCCAGGCCTTTGACCATCTTAGTTGCTGTTCTCTGCATTTTAACTGACGTCTTCTGCACAATATCTTCCTATCTTTGAAAGCTCTCCTACCTTCCACCATATCTACCAACGGTGTCATACCCGGTCTTGGGTTCAGGAAGCGTCTCACCTCTCACGATTTCATCCGTGTCACCTAACTGTGCCTCTTCAAATTCCTCCTTATCCTAAAGTCCAAACTGGATCCTGACCCTAAACTCTTTGGCTAGTCCCAAAGGTGCTTTTTCCAAAAGGCAACTGGACTTCCTTGGAGTTTTTTCTCTCCCTTGAAAACATTTCCCTTCTCATCCAAGAAGCTTCTTCAGTTCCTCTTAGATGAGAAGCGAAACGTTTTCCAAGAAACGAAGCCAGAAAGTCCAGCTGCCCTTTGGGACAGTATTTTTGGGACAGCCATGACCTGGGGTGATGGAGGATCTCCACTTCTGCACAGGGTTGTCTAGGACAGCAAACATCTACATAACCATCGGGAGCCGAGCTGGCATCTCTGATCATAAGAATTCGTGATTTGAAGAATTCAACTGCAGATGGATATGGGAGAGAGATCACCAGCCTTTACCAAAGCTATGCTGATGGCTTTGTTGAAAGAAAACCGTCTATTTCAGTGGTTCTCAACCTTTTTAATGCCGTGATCCCCAACCGGTCGTAAGTCGAGGACTACTCAACTGTGCAGCACCGTTTGCAGAATGGGACTTTTGGCGGGCTCAGCAGGGCAGAGACAGCCTGGACAATTCCTATTGGCTTTTGAAAGCCAATAGAATTAGACTCTATTCAAGAGAGTCTCTTCTATTGGCTTTCGAAAGCCAACAGAATAAAAGGGAGTAGCACAGCTAAGGAAAAGGGGGGGGGGGAAATGGCGGACTGCGTTGTTTGGCGACCCCCGTGAAATGGTCGTTTGACCCCAAATGGGGTCCCGACCCACAGGTTGAGAACCACTGCTCTATTTGAACGGTTTCCGGAAGGTGGCATCACTTTCCAGATCTTGGTTGACTTCCAGGAGCTTCAGACCTTGGTTGGAGATTTTGAGGAATTCTTTGGTGGCATAGGACAGAGATTCTGAGGGAATAGGGCAGAAGGCGGCTGTTGATGCATTGATGATGTTACCTAGCTGGGTAATGAAATGTCTGCAAGAAAACAAGCAAACTCAGAGAGCACCAAGGGCAGAAGGCGGCTGTACGCACATAACTGCAATATCATTGCACTGATGATGTTACCTAGTTGGGTAGTGAAACGTCTGCAAGAAAACAAGCAAACTCAGAGAGCACCAAGGACTCCACAGCTCTCCTCCTCCTCCTCCTCCTCCTCCTCCTCCTCCTCCTCCTCCTCTTCCTCCTCCTCCTCCTCCTCCTCCTCCTCCTTTCTACAAACTCCACTCGCTCCTAGCACTGATGATATTACCTAGACAGGTAATGAAATGTCTGCCATATGTCAATGAAAACTCAAGCATCCAGGGCAAAACTCTCTTTAAAAGGTTCAATCACAGTAACTGGACTAAAGGTTGCTAATCTGAGAAATTTAGTTACTCGTCCAAATAACTTTATCAGTCAAAATAAAATTTAAAAAAAGTTGGCACATCCCAGCGACTCTGTGCCTAATTATTATTTTTTTTAATTTTGACTGATGAAGTTACTTGGATGAGCAATGAAATACCTCAGATAACAAACTTTGGTCCAGTTGCCCTGATTTAACCTTTTTTTAAAGAGAAATATTTGCAAGAGAACAGCCAAACTCAGACAGTAACAAGGATCCCACAGTCATTGTAGTCATTGTCGTCGTCGTCTTCCTCCTCCTCCTCCTCCTCTTCCTCTTCCTCCTCCTCCTCTCTAAAAACACCACTCTCTCCTAGCACTGATGATGTTGCCTAAGGGATGGAGTGCCACCAGGAAATTGAAAGCTGGCTGGGTGACTTTGGGCCAATCGCCAGGAGATGGTGAGTTCTAGTTCTGCCTTAGGCATGAAAGCTGGCTGGGTGATTTTGAGCCAATCACCAGGAGACGGTGAGTTCTAGTCCCGCCTTAAGAATGAAAGCCAACTGGGTGACCTTGGGCAAATTGCCAGGAGACGGTGAGTTCTAGTCCCGCCTTAAGAATGAAAGCTGGCTGGGTGACTTTGGACCAATCACCAGGAGACGGTGAGTTCTAATCCCGCCTTAAGAATGAAAGCTGGCTGGGTGACTTTGGGCCAATCACCAGGAGACGGTGAGTTCTAGTTCCGCCTTAAGAATGAAAGCCAGTTGGGTGGCTTTGGGCCAATCACCAGGAGACGTTGAGTTCTAGTGCTGCCTTAGGCATGAAAGCCAGCTGGGTGACTTTGGGCCAATCACCAGGAGATGGTGAGTTCTAGTCCCGCCTTAAGAATGAAAGCCGGCTGGGTGACACTGGGCCAAACACCAGGAGACGGTGAGTTCTAGTTCTGCCTTAGGCATGACAACTAGCTGGGTGACCTTGGGCCAATCGCCAGGAGACGGTGAGTTCTAGTGCTGACTTAGGCATGAAAGGGGAATTCTAGTCCTGCCTTAGGAAAACCAACTAGTTTGCTTTGTGGCCCTCTTTT